CTACTACTACTACTACTACTACTACTACTACTACTACTACTACTACTACTACTACTACTACTACTACTACTACTACTACTACTACTACTACTGCTGCTGCTGCTGCTGCTGCTGCTGCTGCTGCTGCTGCTCCTGCTGCTGCTACTGCTACTGATACTGATACTGCTACTGCTACTACTATCGCTGCTGCTGCTGCTGCTCCTGCTCCTACTTCTACTACTTCTACTACTTCTACTACTTCTACTACTACTACTACTGCAACTACTAAATGCATGCATAGCATTGACAGCCAAGTACATCAGATTGGTGAATCTGGTTTCTAAATTCAGATGAGGTAGATGACTTGGCAGAAAGTGGTAACTGATTCCAAATATGGGAAATAATGTACTTATAGGAGTTGTGCAAATAACGACTGTTATACACATCCCGTACCACATTATGACCACAACCTCTTAAAGGATATGGAGTATTACGAAGTTTAAAAAAATTAGAAATATAGGTAGGGCCATTTTGCTTGAAACTTTTATAGAATATTATTAATGACTGCTCAGCTCTCCTGTGTTCAAGCGAGCGCATAGTTGCTAAATTCAAAACCGATTCATAACTCATATTTCTTCCTAATTTCATCAATGTACGTAAGCCATAATAATTAGAGTTTTCTAATTTTATTATTAGAGTATTCAAGTATTCGCAGTATTCAAGATGCGGTAGAACATAAGCCTTATAAAGCTTAATTAATGTTTCTTTTGGCACCATACGTTTCAGTCGTCGTAGGGCAGCAATCTTGGTAAATACTTTCCTAAGAGTATCCTTGATATAAGGTTTAAAATTCAGCTCTTTGTCTAATGTTACTGCCATTTAATGTTACTATATTGAGACTTTCCCAGTATCATGACTTGAGTTTTTTTCCATTAATGTGGAGATAGTTAGCATTAAACCAAGCGGATAGTGTACAGCTATCCTGATTAAGGGTATATTCAAGAATAGCTGTGCTAGTATCATGGACATATTGGGTGGTATCGTCAGCATACAATCGTAGGGATGAATTTCCAACTGTATAGTTCACATCGTTCACAAAGATGTTAAATAATAAAGGTCCCAGTAGGCTTCCTTGCGGAACACCGCAACGAATAGGTAGCCAGTCAGAGTATACGCCATTACATTTTACTCTTTGGTTACGATCTTGCAAGTATGAACGCGCATCAATTTCAGGGCCGAGTCTTGAAGGCCGTATGCTTTTAATTTTGCCAGTAATAAATTGTGGCATATAGAATCAAATGCTTTTGATAAGTCGATTGCCACTACACCAACATCATTCTTTTTATCAAGGGCATCACGCCAATTAGCTGTCAACTTGACTAGAGCCGTGGACACGAATGACCGCGCAGTAAACCCGACATGTTTCCCCAGAATGTTGGGGCAAATTTTTCGTATAGCTGGTCAAATTTAACTGTCTCAAACAGTTTTGGTATTGCGGATAAAATAGTAATTGGCCTGTAATTCTTGTTGTTGGTCACCTCTTCTTTCTTATGAGCCGGAGTAACATCGCCACACTTCCATTCCCTCGGCCATGCACATTTTGTGATACAATAGTTAAACAAGTTTGCAAACGGTTCGGCGATAACAGAAGCAGATATTCTCAGAAGCTTGGGAGGAATTCCATCAGGACCAGTGGATTTCCTTTCATTCAGATTTGTGAGTAGATCAGTAATATAAACAGTGTTAACTTGTTGGAAAGAGAAGTCAAAGTCATAACAACGATTCGTGATCGACTTTACACTCATATGATTCATGAAATCCTGCTCAGACATATTCAGTATAGAGTCCTCAACAACTGGTTTAGAGAAATAATCATTAAAAACAGCACTAGGCTCAGTTACGACTTTGCCTTCTTCCAATAGATTTATTACTCAAGTGTCAACACTAGATTTGCTGGTCGGTAGCAGAGGTTTCATTTTTTTCCCAAATTGGCCGACAGAACGAGACGATGTGCAAAAAGCCGCATCGGAACAGTAGTTTTTAACTGCATCCCTTTTTAACGATGCTACTTTATTATGTCGTACTTTGTAATTAAACCAGTTCACTTCAGTAGAAAATAGACGAAACTTCTTATACAAACGATTCCTAAGGCGCATTTGTTCCTGAATGTTTGGATTTATCCAAGGTAACTGATTAGTTCTCAAACGTATTTTCTGCACTGGTGCATGTTTGTCAAGCACAGACGAATATAAGCTTGCCCAATGATGCCAAACGTCATCCACATTCTCAAATATACAGGTGTCCCAAAAAACACGAAAACTATTGAAATCACCAATAACAATTTAATTATTTAATGAACGTTCTCTGACTTAATATTTATTTCTGCGAGCTTTCGGCTATCAGTCTATAGCCTTCGACGGGTGTATACAAATGATTCTATAAAGGACGCTAAACTTAAGTAGGTGGTATGAAATCTGAGACTATCTATGCTATGTTACAAACGGGCAATATGAATATTTAATTAACTAGGGTACCTGCAAGGTAGGGATTGCTGCGGGCATTAAAAGCAAATAGAACTACAGTAAACAGCACAGATTATATCAAGCACAGTGATTACTCGCAGCGACTAGTGAGCTAAGAATGGAACTGAGAAGAAGCAATATATATTGAAGTAGCAAAGACCAGGGGTTAAAGGGCAATCAGAGGTGACAGATATTAAACATGTGCGTCTCATTGACATACAGGTAAATTAAGATCAGATTTCATATCAAGTCTGTTTACTGCTAGGCGCATTTACCACATTATATAAACTATATACACAGATTTATCACACTAAGAAACCAAAACTTTATAAAAATTTAGAACTGACAGTGGCCAAAGTCCAATACAAATGTGAACGTAACATTAGACATGAAAAAGCTTTAGAAATTCGATAAAAATCAAAGACTCGAGCGAGTTTAAAATGTGTGTTCTGCGCATAGAAATCGCGCACGACCACAATTCCATGCGCTAAATAAAATTTAGTTCAAAACCCCCTCTCTGCATATATTAGGTTGCTGCTACGCTCGCTCGCTTCAGGCTCGCTCGCTCCGCAGCAATTAATGTTTCTTGAGTTCCTTTCTTAAAAGTATTGTGTATTGTGCTGGAAGCGTATTAGAGTTATTATCAGCTTCGTCTGTTAGTGCAGTGTGCCAGGCCTCTAAGGCTTTAAGGTTTCTATGATTTCCCTTGTCTATCACTTTAGCATTGGCAAAGTCAATTACATGATCTTGAGTTCATGCGTGTTTTGCAACATTCGATCCCTTCTTGCTTTGTTTTACATTCCTGACGTGTTCAGACTTTCTCGTCTTCAGGGATCTTCCTGTTTCGCCTATGTAGCTCCAACTACAATCTTGACACGGTATTTGGTAGACTACGTTCTTCTGCTCTTCAATTGGTGGTTTCTGTTTTGCAGATGGAAACTGGCGTTCGAGGGTTTTCACTGGCTTATTGTAAACCTTGATGTCATGTTTTTGGAGTGTTCTGGCTAGGGGTTCGGTTAGTCCTTTGATGTAAGGTAGAACCGCGATTATATAATAACTATAGAGAAACACGAAATTTGATTGGTCAACAGCCGTGCAGGATCAGACAATTCTGCACGGGAAATTCTGAACTAAAATTCTTGCACATAATTTTACAAATATACTCGCATTGTAAAGTTTCATTGTACGATACCCTTCGACTTTGAAGTAAGTTTGCAATTATTGAGACGTTGGTTTAGTTGTATGAATAAATTTCTGATCGATACATTGCTGCTCAGCAAGTAGCAACGCGTAGCGTTGAAATTTCATCAGACCATGGCAAGTACAACATCTCTCGCTAGTCGCTTCAAAGTTCAAACGCTTCGCAATCTTCAAATATTCAGGTCGAAAATCTTCAAAATTACTTTGGCTCTCTGTTTAGCGGGTTTCCCATTTTAAATTTCGTATATTTTATCGAAAAAGTCTCTGTATTGTAGCTGTATATTTTCGCGAATTTGCGATCAAATTCTGTTCACAATTGTTGTTGTTTTCAAGAGCGTGTAGTAGCGATTGTCCGATTGGTTAATGAATTGAATTGAATTTATTACAAAATCTGAATGGAAGCTAAGAGTTGAATTGTACAGAGTTGACATTTAAAATACATGGTAAAACTAATACATATGGTAATATACGGTATATTAAAACTGAAATTTATATTACAATTAAAATGAATCATTATATGATATGATACTAGAAGGAATAAAACTTTTACTAAATCTTGTAGTCTTACAATTAATTAAGTTAATATGCTGATCGTTGCGTAGATTGTAAGTACGTACGTCCTCGCGTTTATTAGGGATAAGTTCATTCCATTTATTTTCCGGGTTGAGAAGTTTCTTAAAATAGGATTTACATAAATTATTTCGTCTTTGAGAGAGCAACGATATTTCATGAACTTCCAAGGCTTTGCGTTATGACAGGTCAGGACATATTATTCGTAGGGCTCGCTTCTGAATTCTTTCGATTTCTTCCTTTAAATAGTCAGGGGAGTTTAAGTTCCAAACCTGGCATGCATATTAAAGCACAGGTCGTATACATGTGGTATAGACTTGAATTAGAGAATTCCCTCGAAGACCGCTGCGTTTAAGCACTCGGAGAAAAAAAAGTCTCTTTGATGCCTTGTGTACTATGTGTTCAACATGTAAGTTCCAACTAAGATCAGAAGAAAAGTACAGACCAAGAACCTTTGCTGATAAAACTGGGGACATACAGTGATCTTTAATAAACAATGGTCGAAGATTAGGGACGTCCTTAGCAAACGAGATAATTAGCTCTTTGCATTTAGAACGATTAAGCATCATATCATTTTCCGTGCACCATTGGTCGATATTATTAATAACGGATTGCAGGTTACTTTGACAACCTTTACCGATTGTTTCGGAGAGACTAGTGTCATCAACATATTTCCATCTATCTTTGTGGTTAATAGCCAAATCGTTGACCATGATGAGGAAAAGAAATGGGCCAAGGATTGTACCTTGCGGGACGCCTCCATTTACCAAGGACCAATCAGAGAACGAAGAACACAATTTCACCCTCTGTCTTCTTTGCATCAGAAAATTAATGACCCAGTTTATTAAGGATTTATCAATATTTAGTAATTGCATCTTTTTTATTAGGATTTTGTGGTTGATTCTGTCGAATGCTTTACTAAAGTCAAGCAGAAAAACACGAACAGTCTCGCCATTGCCGTCTGTGTTAGAATACCAACAGTGGAACATGCTAATTAATGCGTCTATCGTAGAAGAGCCTTTTAACGATCCGAATTCCTTTGGGTCCAACTGAGACTTAATGGTATCCATAATACATTGAAATGGAAATGATTCAAGAACCTTTGAGAGCGTTGCGGTCAGAGATATAGGTCGCAGGTCTGAAGATATATCCGTGACCGAGGATGTCTTAGGGACGGGAACGACATTTGCTTCTTTCCACTGCATTGGAACTTGTGCTTGTTTAATGGATGCATTAAAAATCATTGTCAGAGGTTCTGAAATCTCCATTGAAAAGTTATTGAGAATCCAATTTGGCAGAGAGTCTGGACCAGGAGCTTTATTCGATTTAACTGCTTTTAAACGCGATTCGACATCAACAACGGAGATAGGGTACAAAACGGTAGGTTCTTCCACAGATAATTTATCAGTTATTGAAAGCGGCGGTAACGATTTGGTGGCGGCTAAAAACCCGTTATTAACAGCGAGTGCTAAGTCTCGTCCCTGCAAGATAGTTCCATTCATCTCTGCAGAATGGAAGGCAGGCTTTAAAGAAAAGCCAGCTAGGTTTTTAATAGCACTCCACCATTTCCTTGGCTTTGAATTTTTTAGATGATTCACTTGAGACTCGAAGTATTTAGACTTTGCCTGTTTCACGACGTGAATTACTTTTTCAGGGGTAATCCACGCTTTGTCTCTACAGTGGAGTTTAACAGATTTTGGGGGAAAAATTGTATCCAAACCCATGAGGATAATGTCATAAAACAGGTCACACATTTTTAGACAATTGGGTAGCTGCAAAAGTACATTCCAGTTAAGATCCAAAAGAAATCGACCAAATGCCTGCATATTTGATTGCTTCCGCTTTCTGACCCAGACTTTGGTAATGGTATTAGGGCGGTGATCGTTACTAACGGGGTGTAACAGGACTGACATGTGATCCGATTGTCCAATAGCAGGGAGTATTTCAGGGTCATTGTAACAACGTTTCATATTAGTAAATATTAAATCTAAAGTTGCATTCCCACGGGTAGGTTTCTTTACAATTTGTTTAAGTGACGTGTTTCTGCAAAGGCGTTTGGAATCGAACTGGTTAAAGTCACCCATAACAATTACACCTGCTGTTGGGTAAGATGCTAAAATTTTGTCCAACGAGGTTATGAGGTGGTCATACAGTTCGTTATTATCGGCCTGTGGTGGATGGTATACAAGACCAACAACTATGCAGGAATATTCCCGTGGAAGTCGATAGGGTCGAAGTTTTAGCCACAGACTCTCGTGATCTGGACAACATAAGTCAGGAAGAGGCACGAATGGGATATTTGATTTTACGAATGCACAAACTCCACCCCCGCGTTGACCAGAGCGGACTTTTCTAACCAGGTTAAAATCATGGATATTTATACAGCTATCCGGGATGCTAGGATTCAACCATGTCTGTGTAATTCCCGCAAAATCTATGCCATTTCTTTGGACGACTACATCAAAATTATCTACTTTATTGGATATGGATCGTACATTGGAAAGAAAAAATTTGGGAAGGGTAGACTCCAGGCCTTGAGATGGTAAGATTTATATATCTGAGCTAGACATTGTCATGGAATTGCTGACTTGAGTATCTATTAAATTAGGTAGCGGAATTGCTTGTAATGGGTTTTCTAATGTAACGTTGATCAGGTTATGCGGATTACTTCTCAGTTTAGCACCAGTAATCTGTTCACGGATTCGACCAGATACCACCTTGATCGGGTATATGGTCGGAGAACTTTCAGTTAGAAAAACTGTGTCAGTTTTTGTCGACCATGCATATAGGGCGTTGTCATTTGATGGACAAAGTCTAATTAAGTACGTTTCCCATTTGTGTTAGTCTCTCGGATCGTAGTGGGGGATGGTAATTGGTCTGGTACCATCGAAAATGGGGCGTAATTGGATTATTGCGATGGATAACTGGTCGCTTAAAGTTCTGGCCTTTACGTATACACCAGTTAATTCACGATTGTTGTGAGAACTGCACATTTCATCAGTAATTTTAATCAAGTTAACCGTCGTTTCACTGTAGTAATTTTATAAAACAATTACCAAATGGTTTTCCCGTGCAGGATAGTATGACCATGCACTTGGGATGTTGCTCGACTTTCGGAAAGCGTAAAAATACACTCGCCTACGCCTCGTGTATTTTCACGCTTTCCGAAAGTCTCGCAACATCCCTCGTGCATGGATCACGCAATCCTGCACGGAAAATCATTCGGTATTCCTTTATTCCTACAGGTGGCGACTTTCCTTCGCCTAATTCGAAAAATGACCGGACTAACTCTTCAGGGCTTACTACAGTTTTGCTCTTACGTTTTTTAATTTGATCAATCCCGAAATTAATTTCTTTGGATAGCCATTTGATGCCAGAACTGTGGTTACATGATTTAGTTCTCTTTCTTTGCTTTCGTCGGTAGTGGGAAGTGACAAGGATCGGTTGATAAGTGTTGTTGCAGTACTAATTTTATGTTTTTGGTCGTGGTGTGATAAGTAGTTTAAGTAACGGTCTGTGCGAGTGGGTTTGCGGTAAACGTCAATAGAAATTAAGCCGTCCCTTCTAGAAATTAATGTGTCAAGGAAAGCGATCTTTCCGTCCTTTTAGTTTTCAATAGTGAAGTTAATGTGTGGGTCGATGGAGTTTAGTGTGTCATGAAAAGATGATATGTTAGTCTTTTTTATTATGGAAAAACAATCGTCTACAAAACGTTTCCAAACTTTAGGTGGTGAAGTTGCGTCTCGGATGGCCTGTTCTTCTATCACTTCCATGACAAGTTAGCAACAATTGCGCTAGCAGGGCTGCCCATGGCACATCCATGAATTTGTTTGTAGGTGGTGTTGTTATAAACGAAAAACTATTAGTAAAACAAAATATAAAAGTCGAATGATGTCGTCAATGTCGAGTTGAGTTCTGTCGTTATATATTTGCATGCTTTGTCAACAGGAATGGCTGTAAAGAGTGAAACCACGTCAAATGAAATCATAGATTCGTCTTCGTCTACGGTAATGTTTGAAATTTCGTGTTTGAATTGAGTAGTGTTAGCTACTGAGAAGCCGTTTTTGTTTTGAAGTGGAGAAAGTATTTTGGTAAGGAATTTGGAAGTTTCGTAAAGAGCTGAGTCGATATACAAGTAACTATAGGTCTAAGTGGATAACCTACTTTGTGATGCTTGATGGAGCCTCTGATGGCTGGAGGGATTGCGTCACTTGAGTGTAGCTTACGGTAGGTATTCTCGGGAATTTTCTCTTGATTCTTCAGGTTAAGTAACATGGCATTTAGCTCTCGTTCTACTCGTTTGAATGGTGGCTTAGGTATCACAGCGTAGGTCGCTTCATCTTTCAATAGATTTTCCATCTTCTTGTCATATTCGTCTCTATCCGCGATAACTAAACTGTTACCTTTGTCTGCTTTCATGATAATTCTTGTCGTGTCCTGTTTCAAATCTTTCAGCGCTTTTCTTTCGTTGATGTTTATGTTTTTGTGCGCAGGAGATGGAAACTGTATTTGTCCGTATAATGTCTTTAGTTTCGTCTGGTAGATCTTTGATCGCTGTTTCAACTTCCGCAATGATGTTTTTGTGTGAATCTTTGCAGGTGTGATGGCGAACTTCGGTCCTTTTTCAAGAAGGGAGCGTTCTGCGTCGGTAAGAGGTTTCTTCGATAGGTTTATCACGGAGGTATTCCGCTTTGTGGCATTTGTTTCTTTGTTATATTCATTGTTTAAATTAGAATGTTTCTTTGCATGTCTTGCGTTGATGGTGTCGCAGACAGACTGTGCACGTTGTTTCAAGAATTCATTCAAGTTCTTGAATGTATCTACGGGTAGGACAGACGTAAGTTCTATTCTGGTGTGATGCATTCGTTTCTTGATTAATTGAGTTGATTTGACTATGACAAATAGAGATTCTTGCTTTCATGCAATGTTTGCTTGCTCTCTCCATTATCTGCTAGAATATAACATTACTAGAAAATACATGCATGCAGAAACCCTCACCTTGCTGAAAAACCATTGTATTTTCCGAACATGAAGTATCTAAAGTTGTTGTCATGGTAACACGATAATTTTTTAAGAATATTCTTACAAATGAATAATCGCCTAAAAATATCACTTTTAATTACAAAATTATCAATTTCCCAACATATATATGTTAGGTATGATACTATACGTAATATAAGCTTCAATTTAAAGTAAAATTCAACCACAAACGCTTCACAAAACGTTTTAAAGTGTTCTTTATACAACTAAACTGCCTTTAATTAAATGGCTTTATCGATATTAAAACTTTGAGTTTGCAATAAAATGATTTCAAATTCTCGTATGCAAATAACTTTGCTTTCTTCTTTATTTAAAAATTCAATATAATAAAAAAGGGAATCAATATTATTAATAATACACTGAAATTATAGGCTGTCTTGTTTAGTTGTTTCATATACGCAAAGGCCGCAGGGTTTCAAAGCAATTATAAAATCAATATTTAAAACAAACTTACCTTCGTTAACGTCGGCTACCTTCTTTTAGCCGATTCTTTCGCCCTTTCTTTCTTGAAATTTACAAAATCTTGCAAATGAATGCGAGCAAAAATGAAAATAATATATTTGCAAGAAATTTAATATATCAATCGTCAAATCACGAAATGTTTGCTATTTCGCTGTCGTCATGCAGTCATTATAATGCAAACTTTAAATTGGACCAATCTGTGTCCGCTTTTCATGACAGTCCGCCACATATATTTTTGAGATCAGTGAGGATGACCACCCACCCAACACCCCAACATCGTTGGTCACCCACGCCCGCGATAATTGATGAACTTTAGACTTCGCTAATGCTTTCGTTTCCCCGGGTGTAAATAGCCGGGGGGGAATTAGTACCCTCGCACGGCGCTTCGCTCCATCGGCTCGGGGATTTCCAGGAGGATTGAAACGTAAAGATTTCGGGAACCAACCATTTTCAAGAGCATAATGAGTGAATTTTAGGTGACGGTGGTGTGCTTCAAGTTTATAAGTATCCTTCTCTAGAACTCGTGCTAATTTGAGACCTTCGCGGCCAGCCGTTCGGTGAATAATTGAAAAAATAGAGGATGCGTAGCCAGGTTGAAACATTATTTAATAAACGTTCTCTGACTTAATATTTATTTCTACGAGCTTTCTGCTATCAGCCTATAGCCTTCGACGGGTGTATGCAAATGATTCTATTTAGGACGCTAAACTTAAGTAGGTGGTATGAAATCTGAGACTATCTATGCTATGTTACAAATGGGCAATATGAATATTTAATTAATTAATGTTTCTTGAGTTCCTTTCTTAAAAGTATTGTGTATTGTGCTGGAAGCGTATTAGAGTTAGTATCAGCTTCGTCTGTTAGTGCAGTGTGCCAGGACTCTAAGGTTTTAAGGTTTCTATAATTTCCCTTGCCTATCACTTTAGGCCTACTCTGGGACCTTAACTTGCCGCGAGATAAGGCGAGCCTATGCGAGTTAAGGCGAGATAGGGCGCGTTAAGGAAAAATCTGGCTACTGACCCTTGCGTGTTAAGGCGAGATAAGGCGAGTTAAGGAAAAATCTGGATATTGTATACACACTATATATTTTGCTTTGTTTGTGCATTATGCAAAGCAAGTATGCACTACTTGAAATAGCAGGCCAAGAAAAGTGTTTTATTCTATATTCTACAATACATACATGATATGCACAATAACTCGGGACCTGGAAACAAGTTGCATCAAAACGAGGCTGGTAGCCAGATGCCAAATTGTATAATTTGAGGCATTATGCATAGTGTGTATAGAACTGAATTGTTTCCTAAATCTTCACAGTATCAGTTGCTAACTTGCTATGACTAGCTTCACCACAGATTTTGTAATTTTTAGCTGTTTTCATGAATCATGACATTATCAATTAGGTTTGAATTTGTTTGCAAGCAGCAGTCCTTGTATTCAATTTTTAATTTAATTCAATATAAACAGAGAAGCTAAAAAGCTTGCTAGGAAATTATAGATTATTTACTATTAAATTTAGCACGTTAATAACTATTTTTATTAACGAAATTTCGAACCACAATGGCATATTAAATGATAACCAACGGTCATAATACTAGAATTAATGCCCAACTTACTTGCTTTGGAAACGTAAATGAATGTAAATACAATGATTCCTCTGTATAAAACTGTATTATTGTTTATATTTCTATTTCCTGTCAAGCTTTTATATTCAGAATTCACTGCCTCTCATTAACACTAACACTAAGTATTGTAAGCAGA